TCAGCCCTAACTATGAACCTGAGCCAGCCCTAACTATAAGCGTTATCAAAGAGGAAAGTCTTAAGCCTACTCTTAAATGTGGTGAGTGTGTCTGCCCCCCGGACTGAAATGGGAAGCTGGTTCCACAAAAGAGGAGCTTGATAACTGAAGGCTTTGGCTCCCATCCTACTTTTTCAGACTCTAAGAATCACAAGTAACCCTGAATTTAGGGAGCGCAGCTCTCTAGTAGGGTAATATGGTACTAGCTCCTTAAGATATGAGGGTGCCTGACCAATTAGGGCTTTATCAGTGAGGAGAAGGATTTTAAATTATATTCGTGATTTTACAGGACCTAGTGCAGAGAAGCTAATACAGGAGTAATATGATCTCTTTTCTTAGTTTTTGTTAGTACATGAGCTGCAGCATTCTGAATCAACTGGAGAGATTTAAGAGACTTGTTAGAGCAGCCTGATAATAAGGAATTGCAGTGATCTAGTCTAGAAGTAACAAATGCATGAGGGCCATCAGGGCCTGCAAGGCCTTCTCTGCTGGCCTAGACAGAATCACAAAATTATAGCTATTTTATAATTTAATACTTTTTCAAAAATACACTACATATATTAAATATTTTTCCTATTATCTTATTTTCTCATTGCACAGCTACTGTCTTCCTCAGTTGCTCTGCTTCCAGTGCAGCTTGTTTTAAGTAGAGCTTTTATCCAATCAGATTTCACCTCTGTGTCTCTAGGTAAGAACAGAGGCCCAGGCCTGCAGACTCACAAGTGAATCCATTTGCATTTTAAGTGAATGGGGACGATATTGTTGATTGTCATAGTGTTCAACCAATCAGATATTTAGTTTGACATGTTGGGCGTATTGTTTGACATGTCAGTCTTCTAGCTGGCCTACAAGTATGTGATTGGTCAGTGGGCTAGCCTGACATGTTGGTCGGTGACAAACCCAATATCTGCTGCCTCTGCCTCTGACATTTTCAGCCTCAAACGCATTAAAACGCATTCAAGAAATACAACTGGCTCGACTGTCTTCACTGGCGTCAATGAATCGAGAAGGACTTCTTACTGGAACTAAAACACACAGATGTACTGAACAACCGTGAGATTAAACTCTTTGTTAACAAAGAAAGGAGGATGGACTTTGTCTTTAAATAGTGAACAGCAGCTCTGGTAAGTTAACTGCTATTGTTTTTACATCTGCAGTAGCTTTAATATGCTTGTTTATATATTATTATTTGTACAACTTGTTTTTATGAAGATGGATTTTTGTTTGGTTTAATATGTGATAGGAACCATTGTTACGTCCAATGTTGCTCTGGGGACACATTTAGTCGGTGCCAGTGTTGCCAACTTGGCGACTTTCCAAACCCTCATGGCGACTTTTTTTGTCAAAAGCTACTAGCGACAAATCTAGTGACTTTTTCTGGTGTTGTTGGCGACTTTCCTGGTGTTTTGACTCTGACATGAAAGCACGTACGTTCTGCACTGTTGTGAACGAGCAGCAGGTGCTGCCGTGAGCCGCACCAAAGCACTCACAGGCGGTGACTCTCACAGTAGTGCGCAGCAGTCCCAGCTGCAGTCAGAGAAGAGATGAGACACTCTTGGCATATTCATGTATCTGCACTCTGCAGTTAATGTATTAATAGGTGTTGAGCTTCATTTTTACACGAAACAAATAATAACCGTAGCTGTAGTGTCATAATGAGGACAGCAGAAGGCCCAGGTATAAAATGCATGGCCCGCCACTGTGTATAATTGAGTATCATCTGCATAACAATGAAAGTTTTTAGTGTTTTCTGATAATATTGCCTAAAGGAAGCTTATATAAGGTGAACAAGATTGGTCCAAGCACAGAACCTTGTGGAACTCCATGACTAACGTTGGTCTTCATCGAGGCTTCATCGTTTACATATACAAACTGAGATCGATCTGATAAATAGGACTTAAACCAGTTTAGTGCGGTTTCTTTGATCCCAATATAATGTTGTAGTCTCTGTAACAGGACGTAATGGTCAATGGTGTCTAACGCAGCACTAAGGTCTGACAAGACATGAACAGAGACAAGTCCTTTGTCTGATGCAATAAGAAGGTCATTAGTCATTTTTACCAGAGCTGTCTCTGTGCTATGATGCTTTCTAAATCCTGACTGACCCAGAGAAACT